TCGCGTCCCGGGGGGAATAGAGCATTAAATTTGTGGCGTAAAACGCGTCGGGATAGCTGCGTCTCGGCGAGTAGACTTTGGGGTTAGATTACGCTTTAGTCTCAGTTTTATAGCACTGGCGAATAAGTTAAATTATAAAATTTGCGTCACAGTATATATATCTGTCATTGTTAAACACAAAACATTATAATATATCATACGTGGTGCGGATATTTTTACAACCAATCTAATTTTTAGGTAGTTATGTGAGTATTTTGTAATTTATATTTCTACACCTATTAATCATCGTAATAAAGAGTTATTATTTAATGTTTATATTTTAGATTCAAAGATGAAGATTAATCCCTTAAATGTAGCGAATTTATTACTAGCGTATTTTCAAACTTTACAAATACCCAATAGCGTGACGAATTATAAAGAAATTGAGTTGTCAGAAAAATTGAAACAAATATTAATCGATGCAAGAAATGACTTCAATGAAGTTGATACGATTGTTGAGGATACTTTGGATTTTGAGGAAGAATATAAGGATTGTGATGCTGAAATAGTTGAGGATGAAGTTCAACATCATTTTCCTGATCCTGACGTTGCACCAACAAATCAGTGTACGAAAGATACTGAAGACATCAATTTTGATTACAAACAAAAAGCTGTAGAATATTGGAGAAGTGGGAAAAAAAACTTAAGTATTGAAACAGCGTAAAGAAGATTCAGAAAAGTCTCATCAATCAGTCAGCTCAAACGTTGGGCTCACATTAATAAAGGTGGCACGTATCGAGAAAAAATTGCACGGATTTGTCAATACACACTTGATAACTTTAAAGCTGCTGTTGAAAGTGGTTTAATTATTCACGATCACGATATACGGAGATGGGCGTTACAAGCTCAAAAAGAAATTGGATCTGAAGATGTAAGATTTAAAGCTTCTAAAAATTGGTTAGCGAAATTCCAAAAGGCTCACAGAATAGTGTCTAGAAAAATAAATAAATTTATTACTAGGAAAACATTGGAAAATACTTTAGGCCTCCAAATGATGGCTGATATGTTTGTTGCTGATGTGAAATCTTCTATATCATCAATTGGAATTGAAAATTTATATAATTCAGATCAGAGTGGGTTCCAATTAGAAATGCATTCTGGAAGAACATTAGCAGTTGAAGGAGTTGCAAGTGCAATGAAGTCTTTATGTTTTAAGCACTTTTTTGAAGATAATCATTATTGTCAACACTTTGAAGAATAAAATACTGTGACTTACAATTAATTATAAAAAGAGAAGAAAAAGAAATAAATCTTATAAAAATAATTTTTAATCATAGTTTCATTAAAAAATATTAATAAATATTGAGTACATACCCTGGTTTATATGAAGAAAAAAAGCATAAAATATATAGTTTTTTCAAAATATAAAATAAGGGTTGCAACGCCTTGGGTCATAAACACACCTCATATCTTCGACTTTTTATGACAAATATTTTCCACTTGGTTTTATTAAAAAATATCAATTAGAATCTGACATATGATACAAAACAATTTTCGGGGGTAAAATTTAGGGGTGGTTTTTATCCCTTTGAAAAATCCTGAAACACCCCAACTGAAATATTTGATAGAGTTAATGGAAACGCTTTTCTTTATTTTTTTGAGCCCATACCCCGGTTTTTATGCAGAAAAAAAGCATAAAAAATATAGTTTTTTCAAAATATAAAATAAGGGTTGCAACCCCTTGGGTCATTAACAAACCTCATATCTTCGACTTCTTATGACAAATATTTTCCACTTGGTTTTATTAAAAAATATTAATTAGAAGTCGAGATATGATGAAAAAACGATTTTCGGGGGTGAATTTCAGGAGTCGTTTTCACCCCTTTAAAGTGGATTTCAGCACAAAAAAAAAATACGTGTCTCTTATTTTGTCGAGTACTACAACATATCAAAAAATTATTGAAATCGGTGGGGTCGGGTTGGGGGGGTTTCCTTGTTAGTATATGTATACCTGTGTTGCCCAAAGCAGTCAAAATGACTGTATTGTGAAAGAATAACTAATGTGTTATAATATATTATTAAATTCGAATTTCAAGAATTACAACTCACAGACAAGCATTATTGAAAATGACAGAAAATCTTTTTTATGTTCGATTCATATAGTATAATATTCTCTAATAATATTCATATTTTTAACAAAAATAATGAACTATAACTGAATATGGTATAAAAATAAACTGATATCGATGATTACTTTTTTGAATCATATAAGCATGTCTAAATTAAATTTGATATCGATGTATCATGGAGTCGACTTATATACTAAATTCGCAAATCTCACCTCGCTTCGTCATAGAGATACTATATCATACAATACAATGTACTCACATGAACAAATATACATCTTCACAATTGTGGTTTTATATTATGCTATTTCCGTGGTACTTGGTTGTATTTGGAGCTCGCTCGAGATCTGTATTCCCGATATGATCATTCTTCTGGTGATTCAGTAAATATAATTAGTCTCGTCCATGTTGTTATAGAGAAATAAAAGATCCTATTGCCTCGGCAATTTCACTATATAATATATAACAAAAAGGAAAACTAATCAGATGCCTATATTTGAATAAAACGTTATAAGTTTAATAAATACGTTAGTCTACCTGTCGTGCTCCAAAAGTGACACGTATGCCTTCCTCAGTGTCTTGAGGCAAAAGGGAAGATCTACACGGTTGGATTATTAATTTACATGACAAGTAACTAAAAGGGAATAACAAAAGCGAGTGTCTTGACATAGAGCGTCTGTTTGACGAAGTATTATTGATCTCAATCGGTAATCCGTTACAGTGTAAAGAAATTTTTTTTAAATTAATTTTTAATATTTTTTATATTATTTACAGTTATATAACAAGTTATAGAAATAAAATAGACAACTTGTTAGCACAAGTATCACTGCATAAAGATTCGAATAACAAGTACTACGTTAGCTTATTGAGCAACTGTGACTTATCAAGTATACGCCCAAATCGACAATTTATCATGTACTTGTATGTTATCATGTGACGATAATCGAAAAAAAATAAAAATTGTTATTTCAATACATCGTCATTTGATTATTTAAAATTTCCCAAGCAGTCAAAATGACTGCTTTTAAGCAATATAGGTATAACACACATATATATTGTGACGCAATTTTTATACTTCAACTTATTCGCCATTGCTATAAAACTGAGACTAAAGCGTAATCTAACCCCAAAGTCTACTAGCCGAGACGCAGCTATCCCGACGCGTTTTACGCCACAAATATAATGCTCTATTCCCCCGGGACGCGATACCGAAAGTCACCGACTGGGCGCCAGACGCACCGTTGCGTCACGTAACGAGACTACGAAAATCCCCGAAAAGAATAGAGTACGGCAACCGAACTAACTCAGATGAGGGAATGGCAGAGGGGCAGGGAACGCCAAGGTGTTGGTAAGGTAGCCAGGAAAGAAGAGTGAGAACCCGATATAGAAAACAATAACAACTGTCCTTTTATTCAGGACAAACTTAGAATGCAATAGTTAACAATTATGAAATTCCGAAACAAGTGAAATAATAATCTTAACAAGATTCCATTGACGAAATACAAAATATAATATACAACATACCAGATACGAAATACAGAAATGCAAAACGATACGTGAACTCTCGAGAAGCGAGACGAACACGTTACAATACACGCGACGATACACGAGTTCCCGAGAAGCGAGAACACGCGGATTCTCTCTGTTAGGTCTCCAGGGTCACGAGACTTTGCGCTTTAGAAAATTACAATAAGCCAGAACTATTAAATAATAGGTGTCGTATTCGCGATTTATGAAATAATGTACAATTTGGAATTAGCTTAGGGTTCGATAGCTAGTCTATGAGTCTGGAGTTCTTAGCCGGTATCGTGCTGGGTTGCCAGAAAAAGGGACGGAACTGCGTCCCGCCATTGAAACACGCGAGTTACTCTTCCAGAGTCTTGTGACGGTATAAAATAACGTCACAATATATACCGGAAATGAAGGAGGGAGGAGGTAACTACAATTATTAATAAACGCATTTATACACTACCGGTAAAAAATTTAAGTTCACTTGCTTTATTTTTGAATTCTACACAATTAAGTCGGCTACTCAGTGAATTTTGTCAAGCACGTGCGTCTTCCCTATAACAAGTCGATACACGCTACTGGTCAGAATGTAGAAGGAAGTTTGGCGCGTTGGGAGACGCATAGATCGAGCACAAACTTGTTATGACAGGCTGCATTCTTTCGATGCGTCTAGTGCATATTACGCGTAACATCCTAATGCTCGAGAGCTCTTTCCAAAAGTTTTATTTCCAATTGTTTTTCATATTTTTCATTACAAAAAGGTAAGTTGAACATTTTTCATATTGAAAATCGTTACTGTTAAAGAAAAAATTATATTTAAATTGACGTAATTCGACAAATATTATCTCATTATTGAAATGTGAAGAAAACTACATATTTTATGTGTCAATCGTAGAGAAATAGGTCAAAAAGCAGAGCTGAGTGTAGAGACACGAGCAGTCATTGTGGCATTACACAAAGAAGGTTATTCAACGCGAAAAATTGCTTCTAAATGTGATGTTTCTTAAACTGCAATCATGGGAGCGTTACAAAGAAAGCGACGCAAACCTAAACTTTTGCCCGGTAGTGTATGTTGTACAAAAAGTCACAAAATTCTAAGAAATTGTGTCATTATATACATCATTGTTTTTCTAATTGAAATTAAAAAGCAGTAAAATGACTTCCTTGAGCAATCTAGTGTTAAACGAAGAATACCAAACCAATTTCATGTAACTTAGTAAGGTTTGAGAAAATAATTAAGAAAAAAAAAAAATGTGTGAGTGCCATTGTACTCACGAATGATGTGCAAACATGTTGTAGGAATTTCAGTGCGGGAAACTATTTATAGTTGCAAATTATTTTTTTTTACAAGAAATTGTGTTTTAATTTTAATTCGGAATTTATTTGTCTTCAATTTCTTTAATACATGAAATTATAGGTTTATGATAGCTAAAATTTTTGACTGTATTCATTTAAATATCATGTGACATCACATGTCACATATGCATTGCAATAACCATGGGTATGACAAAATCTATTGTAAATTTCTCTTAGTAGGTTGATCACAAATGTTTTCCCGCAACCGGCAGGGCCAGTAAGAAAAATTTGCAATGGTCCATCATTATTCAAAATATGCGAAATAACATCAAGTAATAGACTTTTTTGACCATAATTAGCTGTACGTATTAATTTATTGAAGTACGATAATACAGATGTTTACACATCAAAAAGTAAGAATGATATTTACAAAATTTATAAACATGGAACATCTCACATAGGGCTTCCGAAGAGAAATTAAACCATTTATTACGTTTTATAAATTTATTTTGGGACAGTCCTCTCACGATGCGATTAGTAAGGCGCCACTGCATACACAACAGTATATCGTCGTTGGCACTGAATGGATTAAAATCGATTACGAGACATACGTGTTATCTGGGGACTGCACAATTGAGGATGGAAATGCCAATGCTTACTCAGTCGGAGACGAGTAGGTAAAGTTTGAACGATGTACCCACAATGAAATATAAAAATAAGACATTTGATTTATCCCACTGAAATTCTTATTTTTACCAGTAATTGACCATGATTCTACATTAATAAGTCATGTAACTGATTCAGAGAGCAAAGAAC